AGGGCACTTTTTTTCCCAGACGACGCAATGGTTTGACATTCATTCTCCGTCATTCATTTTGAAAAGCACCCGGTGCATCTTATTTTTAAAAGTTTTACTCGAACGCATGAACTCTACAGGTGCCTGATAGTTAGATGTGGAGCTAACATTAATCAGATTTACTCTAGTGAACTGCATCCATGTTAGAACGTCATGTTTGATGTTGTAATTTCACAGTAGGACTACACACAGGCTTAAAGACTCGTTCTCATCCCCTAAAGTGCAATTCGGCCAGGTATACATCCGCGCTAAAATATCAGGGTAAAAGTCATCATAGCTTGTGTAGAACAGACTCAGCTCCCAACCCAACTTTGAAAATAGATTAAGGCGATATTTTTTTTATCACCCTATAAGAGTCTTGACACAGACACAGCAGCAGACAACCCACTAGTTTATGTCATTCACCAGTTAGAAATGTAGTTAGTAGTTGGCCGCTGGCGTGCAGGAATTTCACTATTACTAAGCCACAATTGCATGCTATTTCAGAGCGAATAATCAGACTAGCGTGGTAAACAGTATAGGGAGGCTGTCATTGTTCAAAAGTGAACCAATGTGAATATAAAAGCAACTTCAGCTCAGTAAAGCAGGCTAGGCGGACTAGTGCTATTTACTGATGCTTTGCTGTTAAACTAAATATAAATCTACATTATTGATGCTGTCAAAGGTCCTTTATGAAACTGAAAATAGTCACATCAAATTTTTACTGGGAGATTTCAGTGGCTAAACAACACTTCTGTGTATATAACCCATTCATAACACGACACACTCTACGTCAGCATTGGGGTACCAAAATAGTTTCAAAACAGAACATTACCTATCTAACAGAAATGCTTCAGCCATGGTGTCGTCCTTCCCTCAGCGTGCAAAAGTAACTCCAATATTGTATCAGGATTTTAAAAAGTTTAAATTCAGCATTTGATTTTATCGTGACTGTGACAGTCTTGTGTGCACGCGGGCAGGAACACACTAATGCGTGAACAGAGATGCGCAGAAGCCCAAATCTACATTTGCTGACAGACAGTTTGAGCTACTTATCAGAATTATGGAAGATGTCGGACCGACAATATTTAATTGGAACATTTTTTAGTTTTATGCTTTACCCAGAATATAAAAATACATATAAACACATTTAGATCATTTACTGTAATCATTACTATTGGTCTGTGAAGAGATTTTCAATCAGCACAACAAAACATGTTTCTGAACACAATCACCTACTGCACCTTTAAACTCTCTTAGGGCTTAAAAGCGTGCAAATGATACATTTTTACTCCAAAATTGTTAAACTATGCAGTGATGCCATACATCTTATGTATTTTGAACTATGTAATGCCTTTATAATATGTTTATTTCTAAACTATATGTAATCCCAACTTTGCAATGTGACTACAGTGGATGTACACATTGGGATATGGATTCTGAAAAGATATATTGTGTATCCGTAGCTTGACCGCTAATATATAAAGAGAACATGTTTCACATGACACGTTACATTATGCCTGAATTATAGTGCACTTTAAGAGTAATGAGATTAATCTGTTCAGCTGAACTACAGGCCATATTATGTTCTCCGGCTCTGCGTGTTTGGATGCGTGAAGCTCCATTAAGTGGTAATGAAGTTGTGGCTGATGGCAGATGATGCTCTGCCAGCTCCTCTAACTGCCCTGAGTTCATTATTAATTGTTCTGCTCGGTTCAGCACAAGGCCAAGGGTGAGGCAGAGTTTATCAAGATAAAGCAGGCTTTTGTTTGTTTTCTGCTCCAAACGCTGGCAGTGACTGATAGCCGGAGGTGTGAGAGAGACAGAGAAACACACACAAAGGAAGGAAGTCGTAGAGCATGCTGTTTGGAAAGATGCGAAATTTTCACTTTCATTGAAAAAAGAAAAAAACGTAATTGTTGGGATTAGTCCAGAAATAAAGTCTGCTATTAGACGGATGTTTCACTCACAAACATTTTTTTAGCTGAAACTGGGATTTCAATTAAAGTCAAAGTCAGCTTTTTTGTCAACTCCTCCACATGTACAGACATATTTGAAGACAGAATTATTAGCCCCCTTGTAAATTAAATTTTTTTTCAACACATTTCCAAACATAATAGTTTTAATAACTCATTTCTAACAACTGATTTATTTTATTTTTGCTTTTATAACATGAGAAAATGACAGAATAATATGAAAACAAATATTTCACTAAATATATTTAAAGATACTAGTATTTAGCCTAAAGTGCAAGTGAAGTTGGGGTAATTAGGCATGTATATAATATATATATTTTTTTTATATATTTGCCAAATTATGTTTAACAGAGTAAGGAAATTTTCACAGTATGTCTGATAATATTTTTTCTTCTGGGAAAAGTCTTATTTGTTTTATTTTGGCTAGAATAGAAGGAATTTTAATATATATATATATATTTATTTATTTATTTTTTATCCACTTGCACCATTTAAGTAAAACAAATTTACATTGAAAAAAGCGTTGCATGCGGAACTGTTGCAAACAATTTATTTGTGTTGAATTTAAACAAACAAATTAAATTGAATAATGTTTAACCTAATTTGTTTGTTTAAATTCAACACAAATAAATTGTTTTCAACCACTCAACGTAAAAAAATTTAGTAAATCCAAGAAATTATCTTTGAATATTTTTTTTCAGTGCACTAAGAATAAAATAAAAGCCTTCTTTGGTGCATTATCGTGTGATATTGTTAAGATATTGTGCAAAAGAGGTATTTAAGTTTAAAGAAAACAAGAAGAGCAACATGATTGTGTGCTACAAGTAAGCATTGTTTTCCTTATTGAGTCCTCATAAGGTGGAGTTTAGGTAAAGTGTCTGGTGCATATTGAGAGAATTTGGTACTACAGGCCGTTTATCAAACCCACTAACCTGTGTTAGACATGCGCTATAGGTGAATAAGCTAAATTGGCTGTAGTGTATGTCTGTGAATGCAGGAATGTATGGGTGTTTCCCAGTGTTGGGCTGCGGGTAAAAGGGCATCCACTGCAAAAAACAAATGCTTGATAAGTTTGCAGTTTATTAAGCTGTTGCAACCCCTGATTAATAAATTAATAAAGGGACCAAGCCGAAAAGAAAATGAATGAATAATAGTAATAATAATAATAATGGTTCATTTACAGTTTAAATAATATAAATCACACTATTTCAGATATGCAAAAATATACAATGAACTTTTTTTGTTCTTGATTATTTTAAGAGTGTAAAGAAAAGCACAAAATATGTTTGTTTATTTATTTATTTATTTATTTATTTATTTATTTATTTGTTTATTTGTCAAACCAAAGCAGTAGCTTTTCTAGACTGTAAAAAAAGACAAAAAGTTAAGACAACAAGTGTTGTTTTAGTTATTTTAATAAGTTAATAGTGTTTCAAAAATATATATTAAAGTTATACAAAGTTTACCTTAATATTTTTATTCAGTTTTATTTGTGTAAATTGAGATGAAAGGAAAAGTCAGATTGATTAAAACAAAAAGTGTAATGCAGCAAGAATTATTTTACAGTAAATATTTGAACTTTTGTCTTCCAGCTCTTTTAGTATTGCTGGCGCCCTGAAATGCATTATTTTCTGTTCTACTGAATACATTTCTGAATACGCAAAATCATTTTCTAACTTGGTCACACTTAATTTGCTGATAAGGTTTTTTTGGACCGTCTCCAGAACGGTTAAGGTTAGTCTTAAATCATTACAGACGTCACATGCAAATAAATGTGGTTATCAGTTTGTGCAATTCATCGTCAGCGAACCCTCCTTTATGTTTTAATTTTAACTGAACCTGTTCTGCATATACACAGAGTGAGGAAGAGAGAGAGAGAGAGAGAGAGGGGGGGGGGGGGGGTGGCGAGAGAGAGAGAGAGAGAGAGAGAGAGAGAGAGAGAGAGAGAAACTTTATTCAAAGCATGTGAGGAGGAAATAAAATAAGTGATTTGACAGAATTATGAAGTAATTTAAGTCTTTTTACATGTTTATTTCATTCTAATTAAATGATTTTTTGTATTTTGATTTGAGTTTTTTATTATTTGTGTTGTGTGGTGTGGTGTTTTTATCATATTTACTGTTTTGTTGTATATTGTATATCGGCACTGGTGGGGGCACTAAGGCATGCAGCCTTGTGTCAACGCACGCCTCCCACCAGTGCCGATATACAGCCATATAGCACTGCTACTCGTGTAATATTGCTCATTTATACAACAGTTCTTCTTAAATCTGATTGGCTGATAGCCGTGCGATATTCTGCAATATCAGAACTCCTACAGCCTCTTTATTCTTTGTGTATTACTCCACCCACATACAACCAGCAAAAAGCAGACACTAAAACTGTAAAATTTAAAAGATGCACGCTCAACTGTTTAACTTTTTTAATTAACTTTATTAATTTTTTTAACTGTTTTTATATATTAGTAATTAGTATATGTAACGTGTGTATATATATATTAGACCGCTTGTTTATTTTTTCCCCAATTTCTGTTTAACAGAGAGCAGATTTTTTCAACACATTTCTAAACAGAATAATTTTAATAACTCATTTCTAATAACTGATTTATTTTATCTTTACCATGATGACAGTAAATAATATTTTACTAGATATTTTTCAAGACACTTCTATACAGCTTAAAGTGACATTTAAAGGCTTAACTAGGTTAATTAAGTTAACTAGGCAGGTTATGGGAATTAGGCAAGTTTTTGTATAACAGTGGTTTGTTCTGTAGATTATCGAGAAAAAAATATAATTTAAAGGGGCTAGTAATTTTGTCCCTAAAATGGTTCATAAAAAAAATCAAAACTGCTTTTATTCTAGCCAAAATAAAACAAATAAGACTTTCTCCAGAAGAAAAATTTTATCAGCCATACTGTGAAAATGTCTTTGCTTTGTTAAACATCATAATGAATGTAAACATGTAAACAGCAATAATAAACGTCTCTCTTTTCTCTCTTTCTGCAGGAATGAGCCTGGAGCCGAAGTCTCTGTCATTGGGAATGATCTCTGCGGCTCCGTGCACTATGGCCACTGTGAGTCCCCTCACTGCTTCACCCATCAGCGGATCAATCGCTGCCAGCGGGAGTCCTGCATCTCAATCCGGCTTCGCAGCAGCCCTCCGAAAGTTGGCCAAACAGGCTGAAGAGCCCAGAGGTCAGTGTTGAGCTTTCACATTTGAGCTCCAAATACTCCTCCTTACCTTAATGAGGAAAAGTATAATGGTCAATATGGGGAATGAAGCCACACCTTCTAGTACAGGAGCCAATCATCAATCGTTATAGACTGGCGATTCTTTGCGAGAGAGGCTCGGTCCAGACGTGAGTGAAGGAAAAAGTAGAATTTTCCTTCTACTTTTCGAAAACTAGCCAAACATGCTGAAGCATTTCTGTTTTGTTGTGCTGTTTGTTTGCCATTTTGTTTTGCTTTTTTGTTTTCTGATATCTGCATTTGTTAAATTTTAATTATTTGAGTTTTTTGTTTTTGTTTGTTTATTTCCTTTTTTTACACTTTATTTTTATTTTTTTTTTCAGATTTTTAATTGTTCGTCAATTTTGCATTTTCCTTCCACTTTTCGAAAACTACCCAAATATGTTGAAGCCTTTCTTTTTTGTTGTGTTTTTTGCATTTGTTTTTTTCTTTTATTTCTATTTATTCTAAGAAAAATACTTTGTTTATTTTTGTTGCATTCTCCTTTTTCATTTTGTTTTCTTGTTTAGTTTGTTTTGAAGCTTTTTTTGTTTGTGATTTTGCTGTTTTTGTGATTTTTGCAGTTTATTTGAAGTGTTTAACATAACATTTGTGCTTTAATTTCTGTTGTATTTTTAAATTGTGCTTCTGTTTTGCATTTCACTGCCATTTTTTTAAAACTAGCCTAACATATTGAAGCATTTCTGTTTTGTTGTGCTGTTTTTGTTTGGCGTTTTTGTTTTGTTTTTTGTGTTTGTTTATTTCTTTTAGTTTTATTTGAATTTCTTTGTTTTTGTTTCATTTTCCTCATTTTTAATTTAGTTTTCTTGTTTAGTTTGTTTTCAAGCTATGTTTAATTTTTTTTGTTTGTGATTTTTGCTGGTCAGTTCATTTAAATTGTTTAATGTAACATTTGTGCTTTTATTTGTGTTGTATTTTTTAATTGTGCATTTGTTTTGTATTTCACTTCCACTTTTTGAAAAGTAGGCAAACGTGTTGAAGCATTTCTGTTTTGTTCTGCTGTTTGTTTTGCATTTTGTTTTGCATTTTTTGTTTTAATATTTTTTGGTTATTTCTTTTATTTTTCTTTGAATTTCTTTGGACGTAGTGGCAAAGTATGTAGTTCTGTCGCCTCACAGTTAGAAGGCCGCTGGTTCGAGCCTCGGCTGTCAGTTGGCGTTTCTGTGTGGAGCATGTTCTGCCTGTGTTCGCGTGGGTTTCCTCCGGGTGCTCCGGTTTCCCCCACAGTCTAAAGCAGGGGTCTCAAACTCGCGGCCCGCGGGCCATTTGCGGCCCTCAGTGCAATATTTTGTGGCCCGCGCCGACCGCTGTACACTGACAGAATCAGCGCTCCCCGCTCCGCTGATTCTATCCATACACAGCGCGCTTGTCACTCAATGCGCGTTGTCGCGCGCGTTCTGATCAGCTGTGTTGTCGCGCGCGTACTCAAGAGCGGTGTTATCGCGCGCCTACTGAAGGGCGGGACCGAGGGTGTGTCGCGTCGCGGGGGCACTTTTGATCATTTTGGAAGGGCACTTTCTATGCAAGACTAAAAAGGGAATGTGCTCTGCACAGGTTGAGCCCTATGTGTGCACGTGCCTGCCCTGCATCTTATATATATTGATATTATAGGTAGATACAGACTGGTACAGACTGATGTGACTGGAGTGGGGTGGGGGTGTTTTATTTATACATATATACGCCTTTTTTTTAGGTGAGGGAATGGAAGTTTTGAGTGAGTTCCCCCACTTTTTTCCCTAGGACTTCAATAAGTCAAAGTACAGGTCTAGATTTAATGATGATCATCTTCAAGCCATACTGAGGGTCTCAACTGCTTCCGCTCTAAAGCCAAATGTGGTTCAGATTTGTGAGAAGAAGCGCTGTCAAGTCTCTGGCAGCAAGAAGTAGGCAAAAGATGCCATGTTCAGAAGAACTGTTCATAATCTTCACTCAATGTTCTATTAATGTTCAGGACACTTCATGTTGAGAAGAAATAATTAAAACTGTTAATAATGACATTTGAGGACTTTTTTTGTGAAATCCCTTATGCGGCCCAGCCTCACCCAGACTTTGCCTCCTGCGGCCCCCAGGTAAATTGAGTTTGAGACCCCTGGTCTAAAGACATGTGGTACAGGTGAATTGGGTAGGCTAAAATTGTCAAAGTGTATGAGTGTAGTGTGTATGGATATTTCCCAGAGATGGGTTGTAGCTGCAAGGGCATCCGCTGCATAAAACATGTGCTGGATAAGTTGGCGGTTCATTTCACTGTGGCGACCCCAAATAATAAAGGGACAAAGCTGAAAAGAAAATGAATGAAAATATATATTGGTTTAATATATATAGATAAAATATATATAGGTTTTGCTCCTTATTTCATTTTGCTTTCTTGTATCGTTTGTTTTAAAGCTTTGTTTCATTTTTTGTTTGTGATCTTTGCTGTTCAATTTATTTAAATTATTTAATGTAACATTTGTGCTTTTTCATTTCTTTTAAGTTTTTCAATTGTGCATCCGTTTTGCATTTCGCTTCCACTCTTCCAAAACTAGCAAACATGTTGAAGCATTTCTGTTTTGTTGTGCTGGTTTTTTTTGGCATTTTGTTTTGCTTATTTGTTTCTAGCTTTTTTGCATTTGGGTATTTCTTTTATTTTTATTTAAATTTTCTTAGTTGTTTTGTCTTGTTTATTTTTATTTAATTCTGTTTGTTTGGCATTTTGTTTTGCTTTTTTGTAAAATTTTTTTGCATTTGTTTATTTTTTTCTTTTTGTGTGTGTATATATATATATATATATATATTTTTTTTTTTTTTTAGCTTTTTGTTTTGGTTTGTTTATTGCTTCCTCTTTTTTACACTTTATTTAAATTTTTTTCACATGTGTAATTGTGTTTTATCTTTTGTTTTGTTTTTTGCACTTGTTTATTTCTTTCATTTTTATTTGAATTTTCATTGTTGTGTTTTACTTATGGTTTTGTTTTTTAATGCTTTTTTAAATTATTTTTTTTATATTTTATTGTTTGTTTTATTTAACAAAAGCCACTACTTTTATGTCGACTGGTATAATATGCACTGTATCTTAGTTAGCATTAGTGTCTATTAGTATTTTAATGCAGAATGTAAACAACCAGGCATCCATATGTAGCGTGTATATTATCATGGACAGCCATTGTTTACTCAATGTGTGTGTGTGTGTGTGTGTGTGTGTGTGTGTGTGTGTGTGTGTGTGTGTGTGTGTGTGTGTGTGTGTGTGTGTGTGTGTGTGTGTGTGTGTGTGTGTGTGTGTGTGGGCGGTGGTTTCTGTCAACAAATTGTGAATAGATTTGAATAATATTTGCATACGGGTTTGCAGTATTTTAGATGGCTGGCACAACATTTAGCTGCCCATCTGTCTGTGTAATTGTTGTCAACGCCAAAACAAAAAAAAAATTAACACACACACACACACACACACACACACACACACACACACACACAAACACACACGCACACACACACACACACTCTGATAATGACATACAATCACAACATCACACATCTTTTTGTTCTTTTTATGATTTCTTTTTGTGTATTTTTGTTACTGTTTTATTTATATCTTTTGTTTAGTAGAGTTACACTTCTATTGTGTTGGTTTCTCTTTTTTAATTGTGTATCTTTTTGATATATGTTTGTTCTTTCATTATTTGTTTATTCTTTACATTAGGATTTTTTGGTTTTGTATTTTTTTTCCACATTTTTAATTGTTTTCATCGTTTTAATTGGATTTTATTGTTACAATTTTAATTATAATATGTTTATTTTTATATTATTTGTTTATTTTTGACATTGTTTATTAGTGTTATTGTATTTTTTGATGTACCTATTTGATGTTGCGTTTTATGTTTTGACATTTGATTTGTTTTTATTTGTTTTTAAATAGTTTTTTTTTAACCTTTTAGATTTGTTTTGCCATTTGTATTTGTTGTTTTTATTCCCCACATTTTTAATTGTGTATCTCTTTGATATATGTTTATATAATTTTTATTTCTTTATTTTAGACATGGCTTTTTAGTGTTTTTTTGTCTTTATCTGATGTGTTTTATGTTCAGTTTATTAATTTGTTTGTATTTTTATTCATGATATTTTTATTGTTTTTGTTTATTTTTATTGTTTTACACATTTAGATTTTTTTTAGCATTTGTATTTTTTTCACAATTTTAATTGTGTGTCTCCTTGATATTTGGTTATTTTTTAATATTTGTTTATTTGGCATGGTTTATTAGAGTAAAGGCTAATTTGTACTTCTGCATGCATCAAGCACACGCATGTTGTCCGGCCCAGCCTTCGGGTGGTCGCATATCCGTCACCGTGGCTGAAGCTGACACACACCTCTCAAATGATGTAACTACACAATGCAAGGACGTGTAACGCAAGCTCTGTGATTGGTTGACTTGGTATCTGTGATGAGTGTGGGTGGTGCTGAGAGCCGAGAGCCCAATGGAGTGAGTGTTAACAAGTGTTGAGTCCCGTGAAGGAGCTCCAGATGGAAACTGTTGTTTTGTGTTTACCTTATGATTATAGTTGTTGCACGTTCCCCGCACATTCCCTGGTTCCCACCCCTAAATGAGCACGTTTTAACTACTTGAAGCGTTTAGAAAAGAAAAAAAAAAAACGCATAGAAACTTGACACAGAGGAGCATAAAAACCGTCTGGCAGCTAGCGTTTCGGAAGTGTTATTGCAGAGCAACACAAACAGCACGCAGAAGTATAAATGCATGCCAACGCACAAGTTTTGTTGTTTTTTCAAGCATTTCTGTTTTGTTGTGCTGTTTGTTTGGCATTTTGTTTTGTGTTTATCTTTTTTTTATTTCAGTTATTTTTTTCTTTCTTTACTTATTTTACAGTTTATTAGTATTTGTAGATTTTTTCACATTTTTTATTGTGTAATTTCACTTTCGCGTTTCAAAAACTAGCCAAGCATTTCTGTGTTGTTG